ACTGTAAATTTGCTACTCTTATGAATCGTAATGCAAGTATCTAATTTGCAGATAGCTATCTAATATGTGACTGGCAGAGGGGTTGAGACACACATGTTGAGAACCTCTAGAGGCCCAGCATCCCTGGCATCTGTTTTCACTGGTACTTTTAGAAAACATAGTTGACAGCGTGTCTCTTCTCTTATTAAAAGTCTCAGTCTCGCTGAGCCCTCAGAATTATCCCCAGTCTTGCCCAAATTTTATGGCCACAAGAGTTCAGCGCATAATACAACATGGGGGAATGAAAGTATTTGAAGGGATTTTTTAAAACTGAACTTCAAAAAAAACCCTAGAGAGTAAGCAGTTGTACTGCCCTACAGATGTTTTCATGGCATCTACTGGCATTTCTCTCTAGTCCTATTACCCTCTTCACCACCGTCTCCAAAGGGGTAGAGTGGGAAGCTACTTGCACAATCCCATCCGCAACTGTGGCCGCACTCACCTCGCCTTCCTGAGAACTCAGACAGCAGGAATTCAGGTGAGGCGGAGAGTCAAACACAGACATAAGAGGAGGGATTGAATTTATAACGCTTTGCCACAAACATGATATATGCACACGAAAGTGAACTTGGAGCAGAGGGAAAAGACAGGGATTCTCATATAATCCCTTGGCTGGAGTGGTTGCCTGGCAGCATCTCAGGACGTCTTCTCTTTTTCCTGGGCTACCATTTTCCTTTGAACCCATGTGTTGTGCACTACAGATGCAGTCTTAAATCTTGGAGTGCCTCAGCTTTGAGGAGCCGAGCCTAGATGGGACAGGGATCTGGGCCTGGTTTGCATTTGCTCCTGCTTCTGTGATTGATCTCCTAGTTCCTTGGTTTCCTCATCTGGAAGGGATCACCACTCAAGGTTTTCCATAGGGTTGCTGTGAGAATAGGAGAGCGCAATGCTACAGGCAACGCAGCTGTACCGGATGTGGACCATGCAGTTGGCGGTGTCTGGGAGCCTAGCCTCTGGCACTGTGGGACACTGGGCCTGTGTAGACTGGGTAAGGTGAGGCATGATGGGTGCTTTGCTTTCACTTACGGTCACTGGAGCTGAAGAGCTACAGCGGTTGGCAGGCAGGGTAGATGAATGACAGGCAAGGGTTTCTTGGACAGATTATGGTTCCCAGATATTCCTTCATGTCAGATGACATACGTTGAAGGCCTACTGTGTGCTCAGTCCTTGGAGGTGCTGGGAGCTGCAGGATGTCACAGACTTGCTAAACACAGACTGTCTTCCCTTTCATACATGTTCTGGATTTTCTTCACTCAGTGCAAGCTTGAGTTTCTGTAATATCAAAATCTGTCCTTCTTCCCTTCCTCTCCCTTCCCTCCCCTCCCATCCCTTTTCCTCCCCTCCCTCTGTTCTTTTCTTCTTCTCTTCCCCTCTTTCCTTTCCTGTCATGTCCCAATCCCCCTCTTTGGTACACGGTGTTGCTTAGTTGCCCAGAATGGCCTGAGACCTGCCATCTTCTAGCGCCTGTCTGAGTCCCAGCAGACAGAAGAGGTATATAGGTATGCACCTCCACATGGGCTTGCGATGTTGTTTTGTGTGGCCTGGGTAGTCGCTGGTCACATGCCACACCTGGCTGACTATTGAACACTTGAAATGGGGCACATGCTATGAAGGAATTGACTTTTCAGTTAATTTGGGTTTAAATGGTAACACGCACAGCCGGTGGCTGCTCCGTGGGATGATGTAGCTCTAGCACAGCCTCGGGTGGTTTCTAACTACTCCTTTCTGGAAATCTTATGCTCCCGGCTTTGAGACCACTGTTTACTTTCTGGTTCTGTTAGTGCCTCTTTATCCCTAACTATTTCTGTTCACTAACAACAGGTTGTGCTCAGCCCTCTCCTTTTCCTCCTACACTTCTTCTTTAGGGTAGACAGCCCCTGGGCTCCAACCCTGATCTGGGGAGACATGACACCCAATGCTTTTTCTAGCCTGTACTCCCTCTGGCTTCAGACTTGTTTCTAGCCTTAGCCTGGCAGTATCCCGTAGGCATTCTGCAGTCAGCTTGGATCTGCAGTGACATTAACACCGTCGTTTCTTCCCATGCTTCTCTTCTAAGGACTGTCACTGTCTCTCTTCTTCCCTTGGCATCCTTTGAGATACAGTTTCCTCTCTGTTGACCTCCCCTCCCTCACCACTGTAGAGTTTGGGATTCCTCTAGTACAGTTGTCTTCTTTTCATTCTCCTGGGTTCTATTTCTTTTTGTGATTATAAAAGCAGAAAAATATTTATTTTTGGAAAAAATTTACTATTTTATCAAAAATGCCAGAAAGTTAATAAAATAAAATAAAAAGATATAAGAAAAGGAAACTTCTTGTGAGCTTGACCTCCTGGAGGCATGTTTTGTGTTTCTAGCATGTGACCTGCCACACACGACCTCTCTTACCCTTTTGCTTGGTCTACTGTGGCTGCGAAAGCTGTGTCTCCCCACTCTAATCCGCTGCTATTTCCTAAGGCACGGTCCTCATCCTGTCCTTCTCTGTTCCGCTCGTAAATCTCCAGAGGCACCTAGTTGTCTGCTGAATCAAATTTGTTCCCACTGATGGAACAGCACACCACATCGATCTTTGCTTTACTCAGGGTGTGGGAGAAGAACTCACTCGAGAAGTTAACGGTTGTGAGCAGATACCTACTTAGGTTGGTTTGAATTTATTCAGCATTGTAATTTCTATTGCTTTATTTTAGAAAACGAAACTCTAAAGTTATTAATTTTAGATCCTGTTTGATGGCATTATTAGACTGTGTGAAACATGTTCTTCCTGTTTCATTTGCTGTGATAATTGTTGTTATAGTTTACATATCTTTTCTATCATAGCATAAGGCCCCACAAGGTTAATGATTTCCCTTCTTAAGTCCCTAGAGAAAATTGAACTCTTATCCATTGATGAAAAACTCTAATTCTCTTTGCCTAGAAAAATCAGTTCTTATAAGCACTCCTACTTAGCCCTCTTAAACCTAGTGTGGGGGTCAAATTCAGGCACTAAGGTATGGTAGGGAAGTAGCATTAGCAGTTAAGACTGTGTCCTACTCTTGCGGAGGATCTGAGTTAGGGTCCCAGCATCCATATTTGGCAGTTCAACAATCCCCTGTCGCTCCAGTTTGAGGAGACCAGTGCCTTCTTTTGGTGTCTTCAGGCATGGGTGTATGTACACATGCCCATAATTAAAAGGAAATAAAACTGAAAACAAGAAAATTGTTTAATAAATGCTACTTGTATGTCTGTAGGAAGCAAGTTTCTCCACGGGGACTCTTGGACTTGAGGGTCTTCCATGGCTGGCGACTGCTGTGCTCTCTGGGTCTTGGGGACTGAGAACCTGTCTGGGTTCCCCAGCATTTGACAGAAGCACAGGTCACTGGCTCTAGAGCCAGGCCTGACTTCTCTTAGGCTATGGTCACCTAAGGATTTGAGAGGTCACAGAAGAGGAAGAGGAGGAGGAAGTAGAGGAGGAAGAGGAGGATGACTTTTGTCAAATTTTGTTTGGTAGTTTGAAATTTTAATTTTGTGGTCATTGAGCATAGATTTGGTCTTTGACAAACTATGTTCTCAGCTCTGTTTTATTTATCTTTAGTAGCTCCCTGGGCATAGTAAGCAATTAATAATGGCTGCTATTATTAGGATTCTGATGAAACAGATGGCTTCCACAAACACATTCTCCACTTCTGCCTTTCCTCATCTTCCAGACTGAGATCCATCTTCCTGCTGGATACTATACACGTTTGCACCTTTGCCCAGTGGTGTGAGTTCTGCCAGATCCGCCTTTCCACCTTCTTCTCCACCTATTAAAATCCTATTTACACATTTAGGACCAGACTAATACCTTGTCTCCACATGTGATGGCTTCTGATTGGAGTTCGTTGCCTCTTTCCTCTGCTTTGTTTTTCTGTACTCCATCCCTATGGGTGTTTACATGGTTTAAATCTCTTTCTCAAATTTGGTCTAGACTGTTGAAGACATTTCCAGTGTTCTCTATGGCTATTGTAGAGTTGTGCATGTACCGTGCACATAGTTCAGATGCAAGGTTAATAATGAGGATTCCTTTGAAATGCAGCTTATTATCATAAGACAGAGGCCCACTTCATCTTCAAGCTGTAAAGATGAAATCAATAAAAGACAATGATACCTTCCTAGATGATTGACATTTACTATGTGAGGCAGGGGCTGTGAAGCAGAAGGCTGCTCAGTGTCTCTGTGCCTCCGTTTCCTTACCGGTCAAATAGAAAGGATAATATGATGATTGAGTTTATAAATAACAAGTGTTTAAGATATCTATTATCCATCCATCATCTATGTATGTATGTATGTATGTATGTATGTATATATCATCTATTTTTTGTTATTTATACTCAAAATACTCATTACACTTTACATACTGATTTAGCATTGTTTTAAATGAGTAATTTTGATGATGCTGCCAATACAACACAGATATAAGCCCTCAAGTCCATGTAAACCACTTTCATCCTGGAGACAGGAAGGAAGGATCAGTAGCCTTCAACTTTTAACCATGCTAACTTAGTCTGCATGGAGTCCATCCCCATGCCTTACTGCAACCTGCCATTTTAGGCCTGAGTAGCATAACAAATAGACTTGGCTCACCCCCATAGTGGAGGGTGGGGATTGAATGTAAGTATGCATGGAAAGGAACAAGAACTTCCCTTTGCTTCTGCAGGGCCACAGTTCCGGGGGCACGGTGACAATTGCAGTTCCATGGTTATTCTAAGACAATTGCATCAACTGAGCTCGTCTGTCTCTCTCACATTTCAAAGGAACATGTGTCCAAAGGGACTTCTTCTCCTTTAATGATTTCGACGTTGTCACATTAGACCTAAGTGCGAAACTATGACAATGCCTCTTGCCTCAGCTGTCCAAAGTACCACATAGGGACACATCGCAGTAGAAGAGAGAGAATGGTCTCTTTATGGTGACTGGCTTGGAATTATAAATATTTTCATTTCCCCCGTAGGAGATGGCTCGTGGAGGCGAGGAGACAAACACGACTTTGAAGCTAAGCAGGCGTACTCATCCCTCCAGACAGTCACCCTACTGAGGACCGTGAAACCTGAGTTTGAGAAGTTTTCCATGGAGGTGAAAAGTTCTGTTGAGAAACAAGGGCTCAATGAGGAGGATTACGTAAGTGCTTGATTATGAGCCTCGCCCTTCAGCATCCTGAAAACAGGCTTCCAATTAAACCAGAGGCGACAAAGTATCCCATTCTGAGCCATTCAGAAATTCCAAGTTCAAGTCTGAATGTCACTGTTGCCTCATGTGTGTGTGTGTGTGTGTGTTTTCCTGGCCGCTTCTCCTCTCCCCCACCCCCATCCCATCATCATTCCTGCCATTCACTTACACTTCTTCTTTGCAACAGCTGCAGGATGGAAAACTGCCTTTTCCTGGGAACCTGTAACGCAGAGCGGGGTGTCTGTAGACTCCCGGCATTTACTAAGCAAGGAGGGTATTGGGAGGAGGCAGTTGAAGGCATGCCCAAGTTTTGCACGCCTAATTTGTCCAAACCTTGGTGGTAGAGATATTTTAGGTTTTGGAGGCTCTTTCTTTTGACAATCCATGTCCTCTTCTTGGTTGGTCTGCTCCTGTCTCTTTCAGGGCACTGGGGTTTTTCGTCTGTGGCAAGCTGTTTCCTACTTGGGAGTTCTAGGTCTTCCCACTCCAGTAGGGCTCATGTTGCTAATTCATTTTAAAGAAGCCAAGTCCTAGGCTAAGGGTCAAGCCCCTCTCTGGGTGCTATTGTTCAGGCAGCCTTTGGCACTTTTAACTATGTTTCTGAGCTGTCCACAGTGTCGTAATGGCGAACCCTTCCTTTCTTGGGACAAAATGAATAGCAGGTTTTCGAGTTAGTGGGCTAGGGTGTGTGTGCTGGTCTGTCTTCCCTGCCAATAATGAAAACATAAAGGTATTTTATGTTCGCCTCTGTGTTATTTTACCTAATGGTCCATATTAGCTTTACGATTTGAAAACTCAGTGACAGTGTCGTTTTGTCTGGATTTCTCCCTGAAGTTGTTAAAGTTCAATTATTTCATCATATGCCATCTGACAATAATGAGACTCATTGGACAACGGTTGGCTTCTCAATACTCCTCTTGGATATTCTGGATTGTCACTTACGCTTGGTCAGAAAACTAAACCTCATTTCAATTATAGTCCAAGCAAAATCTCATTAAGGAGACATTGGTACCGCAGCAATCCTTCATATTTTCAAGCCTGATTCTAGGGTTTTCTAAAGCGTTTGCATCTGTGAATTATAGTACTGCCTCTCCATGCTGTATTTAACTTTTAAAATAAATACAATTTATAATTAAGTAGAAATTGAGATAATTATAATAGTTTATTCTAACTTTGAAGATACATTTTCCTTTTCTTTTTTTTTTCTGAGTCAAACCCAGGGTTTGTATGCGTGTGTGTGTGTGTGTGTGTATGTGTGTGCGTGTGTGGTGTGTGTGTGTGTATGCGTGTGTGGTGTGTGTGTGTGTGTGCGTGTGTGCGTGTGTGTGTTCCACCACCCACCCCTCCACTTTCCTTTTTCATGTAGTGCTTTTGAGCACTAGTTGCTTCTAAGATTAAGTTGTGGGAGAGAGCAAAAGAAGCAGAGTTAGGAGCCTGGGCCCTCAAGGACTCTAGACCAGTGCCGTGGGAGACGCCTCATCTGTCTGAAGGCATCAGGCAGACCCAGCTTTCCTTCAGCTTCTCATATTTGCATTCGTGGGCTATGCTATCTGTGTGTTCAGAGCCTCACTTCACAGAGCCTAGCATGGGCTCTGCAGCTCTGTCTTTATCTCTTACCTAGCAAGTTTGGTGGCCCCATTAGCTCTCTTCTGAGCTATGCTTACCCCCACAATCACGTGGCTTGGTGAACCCATTAGTTCTCATCTGCGCCATGCATTCCCCCCACCCCCAACCGACAATCACGTGTTCTCTGAGCAGGGTCTGATTTGTTTCCTTTCAGTGCTTCCATTACTTAATGTTTATGCTAATGTGTCCACGGCTGAATTAAAATTGTATTTAGTCGAATTAAATTATTAAATTAAGCATGGTGAATGAAAATAAAATATATTAAATTATAAGTTCTATGGCACTGGCGAGGATCCCAACATGGTCCTAAGTTGTCTGAACAGCTATAATGAAAGAGCACGCAACAGATTTTTATCTGTGTTGCTACAAATGGCATCTCTTTGTCCGGCGGATGCGCAAAGCAAGGTGCTTACTATTGGGGGTTGAGAAGGTATCTAGACCGAGAAATTCTCTTTCATTTTTCTTTTGTAGCAATTTTCTGCTTTTCTTAAATGACACACTTTCTTAGGACAACTGAGGCAGAAAATGGCACTAGCGTTAAGGATTGCACTGTCCGGCGTGAGGAAAGGACTTGTGCCTTTGAAGTTTTGTCTCAGCATTGGAAGCTGAATAAAATCCCTGATCCAATTTTGTGTTTATTAGAGTCACATTCATATTATCATGTTGCCAGAGCCCCTGTAAAAGTTATGCTCTTTTCAAAAATGGAAATGTATGAGATTAAATTTTTTTTTAGACAAGCTGTACTTCAACATTGGAAGGACAGAATAACAATGATCTTTTAACAGTAAAATGATTGGACTATTTTAATGGTACAATGATTTATATTTTTGTTTACTAAACTTAGGTGGGTAAGTTCATTTTTTTATGTGTATGTGTGGACATATGTGTGTTCAAGCATGTGTGCCTGTATGTATACATGTATGTTGAGGTCAGTGGTTAATGTGGGATGTGTTCCTTACTTTCCATCTTATGTCATCGAGACAGCATTTATCACGGAACCTGTTGCTTGTTGATTCAACTAGACTGGCTGGTCAGTAACTCCCAGGGGTCTTTCTGTCTCTGCCTTCTGTAATCTGGGATTATAGGTACCTGTGGCTGGATTTTTACATGGGGGCTGGAGGATGGACTTAGGTCCTAAAGCTTTTGCAGTAAGAATTCCATCAAATGAGTCATCTCCATAGCTCCAACTAATACAACTTTGTTTTTGTAAAATTGGTCTTCATCTCTATTGCTTGCTCCCTCTTAAAAATATTAACAGTCTAAGTAAGAAAAACAGGGGAAAGAGAGTTATTTCCTGTTGAGGATGTGGCCCAAAGTAGGTTTCCCATGATCCATTGGAGGGCATATATGTGCAGGCAGCCATAACTGGATGCAGTGGGTTATAAAAAAAGACATACAGTTGAGAAGAAGCATGCTTGGATTCCATTTCCCAAATAGTGTGTGTGTGTGTTTGTTTGTTTTAGGGGTTAAGGGCACTGCTTGCTCTTCCAAGTTCAATTCCCAACAACCACATTTTTTGGCCCACAACCATCTGTAATGAGATCTGGTGCCCTCTTGAGGAAGAGATCTGGTCAGTCATCCTCATCAACTTAGACCATGAAACCCAACATGGACAAGTTCAACAGAATTGCCATATATGGGCTGCCCATGCAAAAATATATCTATTTACCAAAACTGAAAAAAAAAACCCACTGAAACTCCAAATACTTATGGTCCTAAACATTTTAGGTAAAAGATACTCAACCTGTATAATGCTTGCCATTTTTATTATTACTGAACTTGGAAGACATCAACCCCAATCTCTTCTCATTCAAATGGCTGATACCAAGTCTCAGGGAGGTGCGTTAGCCTTTCCCACTATATATATTAGAACAGCAGTGCTCATCAGCAATGGTTCTGTGTATTGACCTCCTTAGGAATACAAAGCTTCACTAATACTGCAGGAGATGGTGTCAGGGTGGTAAAAGGGTCCACCAAAGGCGTTCTGAAGACTCCTTGGGTTCATTGGTAACCCAGAATGACAAGTAACGTCCCATTGGAGAAGCCTTTGTGGCTCAAGGCCTTGCTCAGACAAGGTTTTTCCAAGCTCCTGCCTGGCCTTTCCATTGGTTTGTGTTGGGTCACCTATGTGTGCAGTGGCTCTCACTCAAGGGCATTTTAATGGAGCTGCCTGGTCTCTGCTCTAGGAGTGGTTCCAATTCCAGAGTGCTGGTATTTGGTTTTAGAATGCGCTGTGTGGTGGCCAAGCAGAGATTAGTTGTGTCCCCTGCCTCCTGGGCCAGTGACTTTCTTTTTCCACTACATCAGTCTGATCCTTTTAACAACGCTGTGCCCAATAAGGAGGCAAACTTATGACTCAAAGATTAAGTGTATCAGGCCCTCTGTGAGAGCCTGCCCGGGCCCACAGGCTGAAGCATTGCCTTCTTCTCTCTGCACCCACAATCCAAAGCACACACTTTTAACCTATCAATTTTCTTTACTCTTTCACGTTTGACAAAGTGTGGCTACCATTCGGTACCCTCTTCAGCTGCAGTCACCCCCCCCCCCCACTTTTTTTTTCTGAAATGTAAACCATCATTTTCTCGATCATCAGAGGCTGTTTATTGAGTTCTCTGGGGAGCACAACCGTGACCCTGATCCTGAAAAATGAGTGCTCCCAGATGGAATCCCGACCCTCTAACAATTCATGAGCGAGAATAAAATATCCAGAGCCTTGAGCTCTGGAGTTCCCAGAAGAGATACCGCCTTGTGTCAGTACACAACAAATGTCATGCACCGTAGCACTGGGACATACTGATGTAACTTGCAGCGGGCTGGACAGCCTTTCCCAGAAGAACAACTGTAACCGTGCGCCCTGTCACAGGCTCTCAGGTTTCCATACGCACATTAAAGAGATGACGGTTTCCTGCCTTCCTGTGTTTTAACCTTTGGCAGTTGCGTATCTGACTTTGGAAGTGAACAGGGTATACATTCGGAGAGAGGAGTCAGTGTTACATCAATGGGATCCGGGTAGAAAAAAGGTGAAAAATGACTGGGCCAGATGGTGGCTATGGCTGGTCAGTATACCATTTGTCCTGAGCCCTGTTTATTCAAATGGATAATAAGAAGAATGTTTGTGCAGGGTTACACTGAAATAAAAGTCATTTTCCCAGAAGAAAAGTGGAGAAAATGCTCAAGCACTATTCTATTGGAGAAATCCCTGGTTTTGTTTCTGAGATGAGATGCTCACTCATTCCTCACTTACTCTTCATTCATTCTGGACTCCTGAGTCAGCTGCCTTCCAAGACAGCCGCTCTCACTACTGTTTCTTAGGATGGTGTGAGCCA